CTCCAACAAGTGGGAAGGCAAGCACCAACACTCATAGTTGTCTTTGAACCTACACAAACACACACAGACACACAAAGAGAGACAAAGAAAGAGAAACAGACAGACACACACACACCACATCCAAACTGCAGATCAGTTGTGTGACTATAAACCTGACAAGTGAGTCTAACAAAGCACCACAAAAACACTTTTTCTCTTTTCCCATCACTGATTCTCTGTATCTTGCCAATGATGCTTGTTCTTATCTCCTTGAACATATTGCAAAGATAGCACTTTGACCTTCCGAGGGTTCCAGATGAAACTTCCTTCCTTAATTATATTATGTGGGGAACTGGCTGAGATTTAGATGGGATAAGGCCCAATGCCAATACCTGTGGGACTTTAAGCCTTTCCGCTCAATCAGTCCCAGAGGACAGCACAAGGAAGCCCACAGTAGGGCCTGACAGGTTCTTCTTTATGTCCATCCAGTTTTTTGTGTCCCTCCCTCAATCAATAGCCACAGCTTTTGATACCTATGAGACGAAGAGGTCAGAGGTACAAAGTGTGAAGGGCCAAAAAAGAGTCTTTTTTGTCCAGAACTGGTCTAGCATTGCTGTTCCCTGAGCTCAGCAGGTGTTCATGCTTGAGTTTCCTTTGAAGAATCTTCAGCTATGGGAATCTCTCACAGCAGAATCTGACCTGATTCTGGTGAACTATTCATGGCTGGACACTTACTACCCTACCCACTTCACTAACAGGCTTCTCCTACAGCCCTTTCTATACATCTTTAAAAAGAGACGCCCTCCGGACTAGTGAAGTATAAACACGAGGCCTCCTGAGGTAGTCTCACAAAAGCAGCTGAGCCTCAGAAAGCAACCTTCTTGGTCCTCAGCTTGGCCCTTTTGTGACAAGCATAGCCTGGAAGGCTTTACCACCACAGCCCTGTACCCTGCACACATGATCTACAGGGAACCACAGATTTCCCACCATGCACTTCTGGGAGGAATAGGGAAACATCTCCAACATCCAGTGCACAGGATATCCATTTACATAGCACTCACCTTCTCTTCCCTCAGTCCTCTGTGAGGTGTAGCTAAGCACAGCATTTTATATTCCTCAGTCGTGAAATAAAAAGCAGTCTATTGTAACCCTAATTCTAGGGAAACATAACAAATGACTTCCTGTATAGTACAAACTATTATTGCCTTTTGCATCTATATATTTAAAATAGCTCTAGAAACTCTCTACTATCATTTGCTACCTCTCTCCATTTCCTCAATTTTTACTCTTTTCCAAAGGATCAATGATGTTCCACTCAAAACCTTGTCAGCACAAGACACCTGACAATATTCGCTTGGGAATATGGGAGTCTTGGTGCTCCTTTGCCTCACAGTTGTATTCAAAACAAGGATCAGAATATTTTTACTTTTATTATGTAATAATAATTAAATTTAAAACCCTAAGGAGTAGGAACAATTTGGAAAGGGGTAAAAAATAAATGAGGGTTGCTTATAAGTAAATTCAGGACATTTTTGTGTGAGTCTAAGATAGATAGATAGATAGATAGATAGATAGATAGATAGATAGATAGATAGATATAGAATGAATAAATATGTATCTTTATTCACTGAGTTGTTCAGTCAGTATTATCGTAGGTAAAAAGTTCTACAGAGAAAGGCAAAAAGTCAGAGTAGGTGGAACAAATAAATGAAGGCTGAGGTAAATAATATACAAGTGGTCAGGAGGATCAGCCATTTGACAAGCCAAACCTGATTCTTTTGAGAAACAAGGTGAGGATGAGAAATACAACCGCATGATGGTCACAAAGTGGAAGTATGCAGTATAAACTGAATCCTTATCACCACACATGATCAAAATAACTACACATCTCTGGCTGACAGCAGAAATAACAATGAAATGATTGAGTCCATGGGTATTTGTCATGGAGGACTGAATGCTAGTAACAGAAAAAAAAAGGGACAAGAGGGTAGATGGAAGTCTGTAATTAAAAATGATATATGGGCCCACCATTACTGGCAAAGATGGTATACTTTATGTGTCATATTTAAATCAAAAATATACAAGAAGGCAGCCTGTTAACTGTCAAGAGTCACAGAAATATCATGACTAAACATTATTAATCACCCAAACAAATGTACATAAGTTAGTAAAGTTTAAAAAAATTAGTAAAAAAAAAAAATCTAGAAAGAGTGGCCTGAATGCTAAATATATGTTTGACTTGAAAAAAGATATGATAAATATAAAAATGTCCACCAGAGATACTTAAGGGTATATGATAATTGATTAAAATGGAGCCCAGTAGAATATTTGAGGAGGATGGGGGAAGATAAAGAGTATACTTCTTAATCACCATGTCATCTACTCAGGAGTTAGTGTTTAGCTCTTTCCCTGGAGAGTTTTAGCTCTTGAAATGCACACACTAACAAATAAACACTAAAAGCTGAGCTATATTACAGCCAACCATCTTTTTAGATCATAAAGGAAGCAAGCAAGTTCAAGACTAATTTGTTTTCAATTAAGTGTTCTATCTGCTCACCAATCCAAATGTCATTAGTCAACTACCAACCAGAGACTAATAGTCATAATTAATATTTATAGACTACTACTTGGAAGAACTAAATTTTGACATAATTCTAAGACGTGAGCAATTTTTCCTAGTTTATAGATTGCAAAACTGGAATGTGGTCTTTTTTATTTTTTTAAGTTCAGTGTTAGAAGCATGTCAGTTAAGAAAGATGAAAAACTAAGAATTCAAGTTCAAATAATGTGTGTCAAATAATGTCAGCATCCTCTTCATTTATCATTGCTTTGTGGGAGGCAAGATGGGGAAGGAAAGAAATGTCCCATAAGATCGACGTTTGGTTCCAGATTGCTGATTCGCTTCACTACGTCAGCCTCTGCTCAGTGTAAGCCCCAGTGTAATACACATCCTACAAACAGGCTTACAGAGATGCAAGTCAGCCCAGGCATCAGCATTTCCTTTTTGCAAGCACAACAGCTTTTCTTTTTTTTTTTTTTTAATGAGATGCAAGCATGTGATTTCTTCTATTCTTACTATGGTAAGGTCTTACCAAGGCATGGTGATAGCTTCTGGAACATTCTAGAAGGGGAGCCATATCTCCCACAATGGCATTCTAACACTATCCAAATCTTTCTCTTCTCCCTTGTTCATGTCATTGTTCCTTGGTGTTCATGAATCTATTGAGCAGAGATCATTAAAAGTTGTCTCACAAAGTTCTAAATAGGTTTGTGGTGAATAGCACATGTTAAGTAATTATAGCAGATCACTAAGGGAAAGTTATTTTGCTTTCTTTCTGACGATTCTACTGAATTTCAGAAGTAAAGTGTGGCTAGAATAGATACTTCAAACACTACTGTACAGTAGTAACATTTTGGTTTTTAAAATACATCCAAGTTTTTAGATTTAGTGGCACACACAATAGCTGTAATAAGCATGTGTGACTTTTAAATACCACCATCCTAAAAGAACCGGCGGTAAAGCATTTCTGTAGTTTAAGTAGAATACCTGGGTTACAAAAGAAAATAGCTGCTAAACAGTTTAGCATGAAATATTAAAGGATAATGTAGCATTTAAAGCATTCTCTTTAATTGTGTCTGGCTTCATATAACTCAGTCCTTGGTTAATATAAAGTTAGTACATCGGGGTGGAAAAATTAATGAAATTTCAGTTTTGAAATTGAATACAATGCATTTCTAATCAGAGCATAGAAAGCTGGAGTTTTTTTTCCTTTAGGATGCTATCTGTAGCTTGCAGTCTATTGAAGCTATTTCTGTGTGCTTTTTTTTTTTTCTCCTTTGTGCCTACGTCACCGATTTAAGGTATTTATTTATTTAATTTTAAAAGGAAAGAAAAGGTTCTGTGAAGACCCTGCTAACCTGGAAGTAGGACGAGAGAAAGATTAGTTTGGTAATGGAAAGGGGTAGCTCCAAGGGGCCAGTGTGGTTGTGCCGGAGGATAAGGAAAAAAAAAAAAAAAAAGACATTATCTCAGCACTTCCCTAGAATCTTTTTCTGCCTAAGAAATTTGGGAGAATGCGAAAAAGCAGCAGCCCAGCATTCTTGAAGGGGCGTGGCTTCTCTCAAGGGGCTGTCCAATCGAATTTCTTCAGAGGGAGCTATCCCGAGAAGATTGATGAGCGTTGCTAGGAAACAGGAGCGTCTCCCTCCCCGCTGACCCAGAGATGGTGCTGCACAGGCCTCCCCAGGGGCTCTCAATGTGCAGTTGAACCGCGTGTGGGGCAGAGCTTGCGTACGGTCCTCCCGGGTTCGCTCGCTCGCACTGCTCTGTCTTTCTCTGTCTCCTCCAAGTGTGGTCAACCCTTTACACAGGGACCACAGGAGAGTTCTTACTAGGAATGACTGTCGGTCCCTGCCCACTCGCGTGCCATCAGCCTTAGCAGATCTTCAAAGTTGGAGCCACCTCCCTCTCTACCTCCCCACGCCCCTTCACGCCACTGCTCCGAAATTCACCGACCTTCGCATGCATTGCCTAAGGGCTGCAAACCTTAGGGCAGAGAAGCCAGCAACCCCGCCGGGCTTTCTGTATTGTAAAGCTCGGGTCTAGGTACAGTAGCTCACTAAAGACTCTGCAGATACACCCCTATAAACGGAGGGAAGAAGGGGGAGGGAAAGGAGGAGAGAGGAAAGGAGAAAGAGAATGAGGAGAGGATGTCAGAAGGTCCGTGCCTCTCCGCTTGAGTCCCAATTAGATGCGACTGTTTCAGCCTGGCCAAGGTGAAGGAAAGTTGCCTCTGAGCCTAGGAAGTGGGTTTGGCTGTAAAGAGGAGGAGGGCGACTGAGCACTGAAGATCCCCTCCCTTCTGCTGAAGACCACTGGGTCCCCTTCTTCCCAACCTCCTCCTGCTCTTCTCCTCTCGCCCTCCCTTTTCCCACTCCTCCTTGACTCGGAGGCCTGGATGCTGGGCCACCGGGCAGTGGTCCAGCGCGCAGCCGGGCGGGGGCGGGGGCAGGGGGCACTGTGACAGGAAGCTTCGCGCACAAGTTGGCCATTTCAGGGACAAAATAAGTTCTCCCTTGGATTTAGAAAGGACAAAGGCAGCAAGCTCCCTCTTTTGTGTCGGATGAAGAGGACCAACCATGAGCCGGAGCCTGGGTGCAGGCTCACCGCTGCCACTACCACCGCGGTCAGCCTCAGTTCCTGCCAGGAGTTGACGGCGCTAGGTAAGCAACCCCGAGAGGGACGTGTCCCTCCGGAGGGTGCCCAGCGAGGGCGCAGGAGCTTGGGTGCCGCGTGGGGCAGGCAAAGCGAGGAAAGTTGAGGCTGAGCACCGACCGGTCTTTACATATCTGCCAAGGGTGGAAAACGTGGGTCACAGGAGCAATGTGGGTGTGCGTGAGATAGAGTTTGTGTGTGCGCGCGCGCTACTGTCCCTCCAGGAAGAGGCCGGTTTCAGAGCAGAGATTTGCGGCCAGGGAGTGAGAGGTACAGGGACTAATTAGAGAGACAGGTCTCGTTCGCCAACTGCCTCCATCCAGCCCAGAGCTGGACTCAAGATTCCTTTGCTTGGGGGGTGGGGGTGGGTTATAAGGCTTTGTGCAGAGGAACCCTGCGATGTGAGGCTGACACGCTGGTAGTTCCATGTGGGTGTGGAGGTTGCCAGGCAAGGTGGGTAGCGGCAAGCAGGACCCCCGGGTGCTGCCAGAAAAAGCTCCGCAGCCAGGGGCAGACAGAGGTTCACCCACCACCGGCAAACATGCTTGGAAATCAGACCTAATTCGCTGCCCTTTGCTCCTTTTTGACTTGAGCCAAGAAGAAATTCAAGAGCCAGACTCAAAGCCTATCTCCCCCTGGATCCTGTTCCATTTTCTTATCTGTCAGTGAGATAACTCGGAGAGGGCGGGAGATCCGCGTTCCAAAAATAGGCTAGGTAATATACCCAATAAGCTGATTTCTTAGGAATTGCTCTTAGATCTCCTTCTAGTTTTCCCGGGAAGTAACAAACATGTAAGGGTCTCTTAAAGGTGCAATACTTTCAGAGAACTGTTTTAAGGATTGAACCCCTGCTCTCAAAACAGAGTGCTGCAAATTGTGGAGGCAAATAAAACTCCACCTTTCTCAAGATGTGTGGCCACAGAGTCAACTAATTTACTTATAAAGTAGTTCTACTCTTCTTTAAACAGTAATGCATGTGCTATAGATACACTGAATGTATATATATACCCAATGTAATCTTTTGGCACAATGAAAGTTAAGATTTTTATGAGGTTAGTGTTTAGGCACCTCAGGAGTCGGTTAAGAGTTTCTTTGCTTGGATTTGTGTTCCTGGTTCCCAGGACTGCTTTTTTAGCAACTTTGTTTCAGGGTGGGGAGAGAGATCATCACTTTGGAAATACTCATTTACCTGTCTCAATATCTAAATTAGCTCTGGTTTATCTGATCACAACTTCGGGATGCTAGTTGAACTCTGTTATATGTATAAAAGGCATTTCCCAAAATATCCACATTTCCATTACCCTAGATGTTGTGGATAACAATCTACCAAAGACATCCAGGAAACTCTGATCAGCTGTTAGTATTCTGTACTTCTATTTGCCTTTTTTCCTCTAAAAGCAGTCCAATATAACTTGACAATCTAAAAGCTAATGTGCAGCAGACCTTAATAAAGAGGCATTTTAACTTTGTAACAGTAATGTCTTAGTTTACGAAGATTCCCCACACCTGTAGGTTTGAGCTGTCCACACCTTCTGGTTCTAAATGCCTATCAAAAGTACATAGATGTTTTGAATGGACATGCCCTGAGCTCTTTTGGTTTACAGGCTAAGTGGTACTTTGGGTGCTCATGATGCAAAATGGCACAGGAAGAAATTCTGAAATACATTCTAGCACACATAAAACAAAGAAAACTATATCTGTGTTTATAAGGCCTAAAACAATCTGACAAGAACACTTTGTATTGTTAAGTCCAATCTCACTCATGCCTCAAAATGCTGAGGACATCTGTTTCAGTAAGCTGAACCCTTACCATAAAATATGAAAGTTAATTCATTAAAAAAAAAACACCTTTGTCAGTGCACAAAGGCGAGATCTACTGATTTAAAGTGTATAGTGTTTGTCAATTATGTCTTAGTCTACTGATTACAGATGGAAAGATTACAGTTATTATAAATAACATATTAGATATATTTATGATGTGACTTACTCATGTATGTATTACAGCTGTATTTGAAAGGTGCTAGTATACATATTGGGGGGCAGTAGAAACCTTGCTATTTATTTCAAGATTGCCTAATACCAACAACACTTCTCTTAGTTCATGTCATTGAAATTAAAAATTGGTAAGCTGAACAAATGCAAAAATAACACAAAAAAAAGAGTGATCTTTTTCTGTTATAACCAATATCTCTGTTGAGTGAAAGATCTAGGCCATCAAAAGGTCATCTGTTTCATTTCTCCACCTCATGACAGGCGATCAATAGGAAACACACCGTTAACCTAGGATTCTCTAGTTTATAAGAGTCATAACAATAATAACTTACAACTTCCCTGGGAATAGTCTCCTCATCTGTGGGCACTAACTTCATTTCCAAATTAAATGATCCCTTCTTTCTGTCCATTCTCGTAAGCATGAGTCCCCCAAATGAGCCAAGATCCTTTATTGTAGCAGGTATCAAGATGTAGCCTAGGAATGAAATGTTTTGATTTGTTTTCTGTACTCAACATCATCTCAAGAACCCATTCAAAAAAAAGAAAAAAATAATACCTAATTTCTCTGGACAGTAGAGGAGGGCAGGTTACATTTCTATGGGGTAGAATATAGACAGAGCAGTAGGGAATTATTTGTCTTTCCCAGAGCCAATTCCAAACAGGGGCTGATGTTCACACACAGTTGTCTCCCTTTGCTGTTTTATGCTGAGTTGATTGTTCATTCCCACTTCTTTTGAGACTCTGCTAAATGTATCCAATTCTGCATTAGATGAATTTGTTCAAATTGCTCTCAAGAAGCAGAGTAAAATGATAGAAGATTATTTATCCAGACTAAGCACACAAAATGAGTACAATCGTAGTAACTGAGACCACACCACCATTAGAGCATCCTCCTGCCCCCCCTAATGTAAGTGGGTCCCCACAGCATCAGCGTAGTTTAGAGTGCTCTCATCCGGTGTCTTTCTAAATGGCTCATGGAATGACTTCTTCCAGAGTTTTTGAAACACTATTTCATACTGTAATGGTTCTATCAAGAATTTTGTGATACGAATTCTTCCACGATTCTGATTTATCCTTATCCTTAACTCCTTATCTTTTACTCCTTCAGGCTGTTCCATTCTCTTGTATTATTTAAGGTCATCATCTGATATTTATACAGGACTTGTAAAATTCATGGCAACATAAGAGAACACACAGTGCCAAATCCATATCTTTGTCCAATAGTATGTGTTTTAGAGGCTATTTAGATGCTTGTGTGTGTGACTCTGTGTCTCCATCATTTATCTGATTAATGTCAGAGATAAGAAATTGTCTTCCCTAACATTAGTGACCTGCATGAATATCCAAATGATCCTTTCCAAGTAAAGTTCTGAGTAGTTGCACATTTATGAAATATTTTCATTGCAAATTTGTTGTCATCACTCACACTACAGGAGAGTTTTGTGACATGCTCTTCTGATGCTCCAATGAGCTCCAGAAGCTGTTGTCATGTAAATTCCACTGCCAAAATGAAAGTGATTTCCATGATTAATAGAATGTGCTGAGAATGTCATAGTGTACCTAAGATAGCTGTGTCTGAGCACAGCATAGAAGTTCTGTTAGTTCTGTTTTCAGTGGCCACTTCATACTGATACAAACTAAAAAAATCCAGAATTAAGAACACATTATTCAGTGCTCTGTATCATGAAAAGTAAGCTCACATCATGCATATACCAACATAAAGTATATTTAGGCTTATATGGAAGAACCATATGGGAAGATTACTTTAAAAATAAGAAACCTGAAATAGCCATGGGGGGTAGGGGGAGACAGGATTTTATTTTGTCCACTTAAAATCTGGTCCCAAGGCATCCATGTGTTGGCTTCTTTAAGATTCTTTAGCAAATATCTTGGTAGCCTCACTCTCCCACTCAACTGTTTCTCCCAGTCCCCAGGCACTGAAATGCAAGATTTTACTAGACAGTAGAGGAGCAAATGAGTAGGAAGCTCCTCTGAGGTAGGCTTTGCAAATATAGAAGATGGCTGTCTCTGACTGAGGTGAAACAGCAGCCAAAAGCAGAGTGTGCTGCTATCTTCACACCTTGTTGGCCATTAGAGTGTACACAGAAACATCCACGCAGAAACAATAGGGAAAAGGGCCACTACAAAACTAACTCTATTTTTAAGGGCAGTGAGTTGGGCTGCATGGAGCAAAGCAATTTTTAAGTCAGAGTCCTCCCTTCTGAAGTCCTAAGATGTTTGTACAGTGCCATTCATCCCGTAGTGGTGAGTCCCCTCAAAATGATTTTCCTTAGAAACAAAGGGAAAATCAATTTTCTTGGTATAGGAAAAGTAGGCCATTAATGTATTTGTGATTTCACCCTGGCACCAGAGAGGCATTCTAAGGAGTGACACTCTACATAGACTGTATTTTCTTATCAAACCAGCAGTCCTGCTATAGAACTGCAAAACTGCACACTGTACTTTAAGGGTACAGATACACTTAGAAAATTTTCAGGTATAATCTACACCAAGTCTATACCGAGATATTATGTTTCCAAACAAAGCCACATATGTAGATGATAGCTCTAGAAAAAGTATAAGCAGCCCTCCAGTTGAGTTTCTTGTCAGAGTGTATATTTATTATCATTGCTTTTTTTTTTTAATCAAAATAGTCATTTGGACAAGCATACATATTCACCAAACATATAATAATCTTCAAAACCCTGATGCACAGTTTTCAAAAACTTATAGCCAATATATACAGCACAGGAACTCTAAGACTATAAGAATATCTATACCAGTGATAAGTTTTAAAATATATGGGCTAGTTTTGATGAAACTCTCTTAAAAGAAAGAACACAGCCAGAAAAGTCGGCTCTTAGCAAAGCAACTGGTGAAAAAGTATTTACTAGCAGCTGTTATGAACAAAATATGATTTAGGGTATGTAGTGAGGACACAAAAGTGACAAAATACGAACAGAAACTTTATAAGCATATGCGCAGTTGAAGCTGCTCAAACAGCAGCTTTTTAGAA